CCAACTCATCTGGGTCCAGGGAAGGCTTCTTGAGGAGGGGCCTCACAACGGCCTCCTTTAAGGCCGCAGGGAAGACACCCTCCTGCAAAGAAGCGTTAATAATTCCCTGGAACCAGGCTCGTGTACCCTCCCGAGCTGCCAGTACCAGCCAGGAGGGACACGGATCTAATAAACATGTGGTTGCATTCAGCCTCCCCAATAACAAATATAATTTTATCTGCTTCATAAAGGAGGAGTCTTAGAAGTGGCAATAAGATAACGAAGAAGGGTGGGCTAATAGTGACCCGTATGATGGGAAATGAAAATGGAGAAATGAGGACTACGATATTGGTGTGAACCAAAGGAATGAGAAGAAAAAAATCAATAATCAGTGGTTGGAATGTACAGAATCATCTGTCAAGGATGAAGAAGAAGGGAGAATTGAGAATGATGGCAGGATTACCCATCAAGTGGTCAATATCAGTATGAGAAATATATTTGAAAGGTATACTGTATCTGAAAAAAAGAATAAAATATGTGGATCATGATTGAGACAACAGCATAAAAAGAAGACTTTGGAAGAATTTTTTTCCAATAAAAGAGGATTAAAATCTGCTTTTTTACTGAGGGTCCTCAGATAAACAAACTTTCATTTAATGATGGTTTTCTGTATATGAGATAGATGTCTCTAATGAGCACTATCAACTTGACAGCTAGTTTGGATTTGATACCTTTGCAGCAATTCCACCGTTATTACCTAAGGTTACCATATCTGGACTGCAAAATTCCAGATAACCACAAGATGGAAGCAGAGAGATGCAGAGAAAATCGGCTCTTTGTTGCATTCCAATAGTTGTCTGGATTTTGTAGCTCAGATATGGAAATTCTAAAATTGCCATCTTATTTGAAAAGAGATTATCAGTCCTGGGGTTGCACATGTAGCATAAGGTTTTTTCAATGACTTATTTACCCCCCCTCACACACACAAATCCTCATAAGATAGTATTGTTGCTACTCTCACCATTAGCTTTTTAAAATCTAGGTAGCAATGGTGACACAGACAAAATTTACAATGATTAAACAAATAGTATTTATTCAGAAAACTAGACACAAAAGAAGACTAAGATTATGATTGTATAAGCTTGCTTATTACTCTTTCAAATATTTAATTCAATCTCTTCACACAAATAATACTACACGCAATTGTAATTGAGACCTTCTTGGTAGGGTACAGACATGCCATTAAAACAACACATGAAGCATTTATAAAAAGCAATTAAAAGTTAAATATAAGAAAATCACAAAAGTAGCCAAAGGGAAAAAAAATTGAAGGTGCCATTTAAGAATCAAAGACTGTATTAAACAATTCGACTTTTAGTCACTTTCTAAAAGCTAATAAGAGAAGAGTCTTAGGGTAGGGAGAGTGAAAGGAGACAACTGTAAACTCACCAGATGCAAATCTGCCAATTCCTGATCAAAGCACAATTTTTTAAAAGATAATGGAGATTTCCATCTAAAGACACCCCACAAACCAAATTATTTTTGTTTACTGTAATTTCTCACAGTCAAAGGTAAGTAAAGATTGGATTCTTGCAGATTTTTTGGTAGATCAAGTTTTTCTCTTGGTCTCTACACTGTCCCACAATTGGTATGCTTGTTCAGCCATCTAAGTCCTTGCAACAGTTGAAAACATCAGGTTTTTAATTTTCTGACTATAAACAGCCAGATTAAAGTGCATAACTTCTCTCATATGTTTGTCATTCAAATTAAATACTGTTTTATATTGGAGATGATATTCCCCACAAAGAGAAAAAAAGCCATTTTCCAATGCTGATTTCATAATTTCATAAAAAGCCATTTAAAATTGAAATTGCCATACCATCCATGATATTTTCTTAAAAATTTCCAGGTGTGCTTACAAACCCCAAAAGATAGGGTGACTTCCCACTTAGCATATGATTACCATTTTGAAAGGGCACCGAAACAGATTATATATGGTTCTGTGATGGTACCAAAAATTATGCCCCAGTTGCCAGATGTTGAGGGCATACAATTACAAGGTAACTGTAATTGTATACTTTCACATTTGTTTTCAAATCTTCATACCTTATATCAAACTGACATGTTTGTATCATTGTTTTTAAGGTAAATATCTTTTTTAAATCCATCTCTGTGTAAGTAATGCATATTCAGAACAGAAGACGGAGGAAAACAATATTCATCAAATCATGTTTTAAACTTGGAATTTACATTGGTTAAAAAGGTAGGCTTAAGCAATTTTAAATTCACTAAATCATACCAATATCACCCTCTGGTGGCCATTTCTTCCAAAATTAAGATAATCTTCATAGTTGTCTGCAAGAAAAAACGCAATTATATCCTCAGAAGTCCCAAATATCAAAGTACAGATAGTCCTTGACTTACCACAGTTTATTTAATGACCATTCAAAGTTATAATGCACTGAAAAAAGTGACCATTATGACCATTTTTCACATTTAGGACCACTGCAGCATCCCTATGGTCATGTGACTTGACAACTGGCTCAAATTTAATGGTTATTATAGTGTCCCGTGGTCATGTGATCACTTTTTGTAAGCTGATAAGCAAAGTCATTGGGGAAGCCAGATTCATTTAACAAACGTGTTGCTAACTTAGCAACTGCAGTGATTCTCTTAACAACTGTGGCAAGAAAGGTCGTAAAATGGGCAAAATTCATTTAACAAATTTCTCACTGAGAAGCAGAATTTTTTTTTTTCTGGCAATGCTCCTTTTCATAGCGCTGTCCTTCAAAGGCCCTCAGCTGATAAGTATTTGTAAAGTATGTTTAGCAAAAGTATGGTTTAGATCCAATTAGTTCAATGCCATTTTAAAAAATGTGTAAATTTGAAAAGATTATAATATTTTCCAAATTAATTTGACCTGCCTAAATAGATGTTAGTTTCAAACTAGGCTTATGTTATTTTGCGCATTTGAAATTTATTGTCCTGCCTCATTAAATATTACTGTTCAATAGCTTTGTTTCTTTCTGTTTAAAAAGAAATACAGATTATGCAAGAGCATTTAAACTGCATAATAGATCCAGCTGTTGTTAATTAGGAGAAAATCAGAGTCCTTATGTTACTCAGTTTGGTTGGAGCTGTTCAACATCCTGATTCAATTATTTGCTTTGTGATACATAATTTAATATATCATTTAAACCTGATTTTTTTAAAATCCAGTATTACAGTAATAGACAAGCCCCCTGTCTTTTACTGAGATACAGGTAGTCCTTGACTTATGACCAGAATTGAGTCCCAAATTCCCATGGCTAAGCAAGACAGTTGTTAAGTGGGGTTTGCCCCATTTTACAACCTTTTTTTGCCATAGTTAAGTGACTCACTGCAGTTCTTAAGTTAGTAATACAGTTGTTAAGTAAAAGGTCACAAAAGGTGATCATATGACTCTGGGACACAACAACCATCTTATCTATAAGCCGGTTGCCATGCACCAAATTTTGATCCTGTGACCATGAGGATGCTGCAACTTTGTAAGTGTGAAAAATAGTCACAAGTCACT